GCCAGGGAAAATAGAGGAATCAGTAGCTCAAAGGGCCTGTCCCTCCAGAAAAACTGACAAATCGAACACAGATAGTCAGAATCAACTTTACCTAACCTCTGGGAAAGAGCTTAAGATTTATGCCAACCACGCCAATGCTCAGTCAGGAAAAAGGCAATGTGAATGTGGCAGGAAAGCCTTGTGTGTCCCCTGCCCTTCCCTCATCTCCTTCCCCAGCATGGCAGGTCCTGAAGAAGGCAGCCTGCGCCCCCAGTTCCGGAGGGGGCAGAAGCCCTCCTTCTCACAGTGTTTGTCTGTTCTGACATGTCTGGGGGCTACCTGAGGACGAACTCCAGACACCTGTCTGTTTAGTTCAGAACGAACTCCTAAAAAACAGTGTAAGGCAGCGATTTTCAACCGGTGTGCTGCAAGAATTTTTAAAATTCGCAATGCCTGACTATTTAGTCAGGGGCACTGACCTCTTTTCCCTTAGAGCAGTGGTTCTCAACCTTGGCTGCACATTAGAATCACCTGGGAACTTTTTAAAAATCCTGATTTCTGGGCCTCCTCCTCCGGAAATTCTGTTTCTTTGTTATGGGTGGGACTATTGCCTTAGAGTGTCAAATAAAAAAATGGCAGCAGCCAACAAGAATAGCCATCTGGGGAGTACCATTCTTGTTACTAGATGGGTTGCTGCCTGATTTGTGAATCACTTAATAAAGACAATTAGGTCTTAAAAAAAAATAGCCGCCTTGTGTGAATAAATCAAAATTACACCTATTTTTTTGTTGGATCTGCAAAAAAAATATTTTTGGTGTGCTACAGAACTTTAGTAATTAGTTTATGTGTGACATAAGATGAAAAAGATGCCGAGAGCATGTGCTGGGGCCAGGGAGAGGTCAATGGGGGGAAAAAGGAGACATGTGTAATACTTTCAAGAATAAAGAATTTAAAATAAGCCCTAGCCGCTTTGGCTCAGTGGACAGAACGTCAACCTGCGGACTAAAGGGTCCCAGGTTGGATTCTGGTCAAGGGCACATGCCCAGGTTGTGGGCTCGATCCCCAGTGGAGAGTGTGCAGGAGGCAGCCAATCAATGATTCTCCCTCATCATTGATGTTTCTATCTCTCGCTCCCTCTTCCTTCCTCTCTGAAATTAATAAAAATATACTTTAAAAAAAAGAATTTAAAATAAAACAACAACAAAAGATGAAAAGGGTACAAAATCACTGGTGTAAGGCAAAGGAAGACCCACAGCCACCTAGGGCAAGATTACAACTGAGAACAATGACAGACAGGCTAGCAGCTGTGAGGAAAAGCTGGGGTGGAAGTTTCCTTGGGTAATTAGAGCATTGAAAAGCATCCAGATATATTGGGGAATTTAGAAAGCATGTGCATCCCCAAGGCAGGAAAATGCCCAGAACACCTGAAAAGACAAGCTTTCACTTATGGCTAATCTCTAGGTGCAGCACAAACAGGAAGCGAGGGCTAAGGCAGAGCTGGAAATATCCTGGTGAAGCATTAAAACTTCATAGATCTGCAGAGTGAGAGAGGTTTTTCATTGTGTTTTTTTTTCTCCCATTTTCTCTCACAATATATAAAAAATTCATAACTCAACAACAAAAAGACAAAGGAACTCAATTTAAAAATGGGCAAAGACTTGAATATACAATTCTCCAAAGAAGATATACAAATGGCCAACAAGCACATGAAAAGATGCTCAACATTACTAGGGAAATGTAAATCAAAACAACATTGAGATACGTCTTCACACCCATTAGGATGGCTATAATAAAAATAAAATAGAAAATAACGTGTAGAGGACGTGGAGAAACTGGGACCCTCATACATGGTTGGTGGGAATGAAAATGGTGCAGACATTGTGGAAGGGTTTGGCGGTTCCTCAAAAAAGTTAAATGTGGAATTACCATATGATCCAGCAATTCCACTCCTAGGTGTATACCCCAAAGAATTGAAAGCAGATACTTAAACAAATATATATATATATATATATATGTACACACATATATTCACAGCAGCATTATCCACAATAGCTAAAATGTCCTTCAGCAGGTGAATGGTTAACCGATTGTGGTGACCCATATAATGGAATACTATTCAGTCATAAAAGGAATTACATACAGATACATGCTATGAGGATGAACCTTGAAAACATTATGCTAGGTGAAATTAGCCAAATGGTCACATATTCCACTTATATGAAAAATCCAGAATCTGTAAATTCATATAGGCAGCTTGACAACTGCCAGAAGCTGGGGTGAATGGGGAAATGAAGAGTAGCTGCTTAATGGGTACAGGGTTTCCTTTGGGCTGATGTTTCGGAAGTAGGTACAAGTGGAGGTTGCACAACATAATGAATGTACTAAATGTCACTGAGTTACTCCCTGTAAAATGACTTATTTTATGTGATGTGAATTTCACCTCATTACGAAATCCATTAAAAAAGGTCAGTTTGGCTTGGTGGATAGAGTGTCAGCCTGCGGACTGAAGGGTCCCGGGTTCGATTCCGGTCAAGGGCATATGCCGGGGTTGTGGGCTCGATCCCCAGTGGGGGGCGTGCAGGAGGCAGCCGATCAGTGATTCCCTCTCATCATTGATGTTTCTATCTCTCTCTCTCTCTCTCTTCCTTCCTCTCAGTAAATCAATAAAAAAATCAATAAAAATTTTTTAAAAAGGAATCAGTGTGCTCTCCTTTTCTCGGGCCTGCACTTTCGCTCTCTTTCTCCTAAACTCTAAAAGCCCCCATGAGACTTGCAATCAGGGCAGCAGTGGGCAGCTACAGCTTCGTCCTAGGCGAACCCCACTGAACCTGTCTCTAAAGCCCCCTTTTCTCTGACTTTTCAGTGAGCTAAAAGCAGTCCCACCTTGGCCCACTTGTGTCACTGACTTTTACTTCTCAGTTATTCCGCAGCCCCGTGTGACTCGCTTCTTCCCCGAGACGTTCCTAGAGTCCAAAACAGCATGGCCTGGGCTCTCTCCTGCTGCTTCTTCTAAGTCCTTCCTTGGTTTCAGTCTCCAGCTTTGATAAAGGTACTCTCAACACAAAAAACGGAAAAGGAACCATCCATTCTGCACAACTACTTCAAAATGTTCAAGCAGAGTCTGAACGATAGAAAAACTAGTGAAACAAACAACTGTTCATAAACTGTGACATTACGAAGTGGTATTACTCCAAGTTCTTCAAACGCAGGAAGGCACTGACAGCCAGCAGCTCTATTTAAAGAGTAATTGTCACTCTCTGCCAACCTCTCCCCGCCCTATATGTATATTCAAAATTTCAGCCCTGGCTGGATAGCTCAGTTGGTTAGAGCATCATCCCCGTATACCAAGGAGGGGGGTGGATTCAATGCCCAGTCAGGTCAGGGCACATACAAGAACCAGCCAATGATGCATAAATAAGTGGAACAACAAATCAATGTTTCTCTCTCTCCCTCTTTAAAACCAGTAAATAAAAGTGAAATTTTCCGTCTAAACCATTTTTCTAATGTTGAGATGGAATCACCAAGCAGAATCCATTTCTCCCATGACTCTTTGCTTATGTTTGCTTCCCAGAGGGCGGTCATCTCCGAGTCCTCTGAGCCAGACTGAGGAAGAGACTGAACGGCTGGATGACAAACCGAGACTGTCACAGGTATTTGTGAGGACCTATGCTGTACCAGCACTGAGCCCAATGAGGTGGGCCTGTGTCACCCCACTTTACAGCTGAGGAAACAGGACCAGCAGGGTGACTGCCTCAAGCGAAGGTGGGGCGTGGTTTGAACTGGGCCCCAGGCCCGCACCCACCCCCTCTCCCCTGTGGACTCTAAACTGGGCCTCCTGGGCCGCTCCGCTGACCCGCTGGCCCCCGAGTCTGAGGCCCTCGGGGTGCCCGCTGGGCCAAGACTCTCTACAAACTCTGCAAGGAAAAGCGAGCGCTCGCTCAGTGTGGACCAGGCTGCACCTCACTCAGTTCTCATTACCCGCAACTTACAGGTGAGGAAACGGATAGAGTGACGGTTCTAAGGCACAAAAGGAATGAGGAGTCGGGCTTCCAAGCTGAGGCTTTGTTCAGAGACCAGGGATAATATGACACCCCCGTTAATAGGGACGATTCTCTGCGCCTCCAGCCCCCCACCCCAGCCGAGCCTTTTTATAGGCGAGCCCTACGGGTCCCTGGCAGGGCCACGCCCGCCCTCTATTTGGCCCCGATCTAGCCTGACAAGATGGTCCCACGGTCTTCACGCGTGGTCTACTCTGGGGAAACCGCTCAGTGGGTTTCAACCTTCTGGCCCTTTAAGTACAGTTCATGTTGTGACCCAACCATAAAATTATTTTCATTGCTACTATTATGAATCATAATGTAAATATCTGATATGCAGGATGGCCTTAGGCGACCCCTGTGAAAGGGCCGTTCGACCGCCAAGGGGGTCGCGACCCACAGGTTGAGAACCGATGGAGAAGGACCCGACCGTCTCCACTTTAGTTGTCTTAATGTTTGCCTGAGAAGAACGCAATATTACTTATTTTTGTCATTTTCCTTCACCAGCAATTGAAACTAAAAATGGGGACCTTTTAGAAAAAAGTCTAGAAGGTTGAATGTTTTCGGGCACACCAGGCATTCATTTGGGCAGCTACACCCTAAGGGGGTCCTACACTCCCAACTCCGCTGGTTTCGGATAACGGGCAGAAGCAGCTGCCAATGAGCTCCGCTGAGTGCAGAGGGGGCAGGGCTAGCCCTTAAAGGAGCCACGACCCATTAGGAGATCATAGGATGATCCAGATGATGGCGGCCAGCGCGGCCTTAGCCTTGGCCCTGGGGCTCCTACTGCCATCAGTGGGGGTGAGAGGGGCCGGGCCCCCACCTATACAGGACGGCGAGTTCACATTCCTGCTGCCTGCGGGGAGAAAGCAATGTTTCTACCAGTCCGCGCCGGCCAACGCAAGCCTCGAGACCGAGTACCAGGTAGAGGGACCTGGGCCGGAGAGCGAGCGGAGCCAAGGGGAGAGGGCGTGGCCAAGCAGCTACAGCAAGGCTTGCCTTAAAGAGGAAAGGGGCGGGCGCCTGTGCGTAAGAGCGTGGGGGCGGGATCTTACGAAGGGGACGGGCGCAGCGCGTGGGAGCGGAAGGGGTGGGAGTAAAGGACGAAGGCGGGGCTAGAGGACGACAGCCTGGAGGCGGGCAGTCGGGAAGAATAGCGCCTTTCATAGGGTCGGACCCCCGTGGGCGTGACCAAAATGTTGTGGCGGATTGAAGAGGTTGGTGGGCGTGACTAGGATGCGCTATGAGAAAGGGCGAGATCTACATTTTGGGGGGCTTGGGCTAAAGGCTGAACTGGGTCGTCTCCTTTGGGGCATGATCAAGTCAGGGGCGTGGCCAGACTTGGCCGATGAAGTACTTCCCACGGGGGCGGGGGCGTTGCCAGAGGAAAGAGCTGATCCCAAAGCTGTCATATCCAGGGGGGCAGAGCCAAGGCAATGGGCGTGGCCTGAAGGACTGGTGGGGCAGGACCTGGTTGCAGGTGTGGGTGTCATCGCTCAGGTAGGCTCTTAGCGGTCTGTATGGGTCTGCTCGGTGGTCCAGCCCTGGCCTTCTCTGGCAGGTGTTCTTGGCCTACTCCTAGCCCTCCACCTGCTCTTACCTGCCCCCCAGGTGATCGCAGGTGCTGGGCTGGATGTGGATTTCACGCTGGAGAGCCCTCAGGGTGTGCTGCTGGTCAGTGAGTCCCGCAAGGCAGATGGGGTGCACACGTGAGTTAAGTCCTGCTGCCTGCTGGGGTTCGGTTACAGCCCTGCCCCTCCCCATTGGCCTCCGGTTACGGCCCTGCCTGTTTCTCAAAGTCCGGCTGGCGGCCGGCCATTCAGGGTCATGTCTGTGTGTCTGCCTCTCTGCCCAGGGTAGAACCCACGGAGGCTGGGGACTACAAGCTGTGCTTCGACAACTCCTTCAGCACAATCTCCGAGAAGCTGGTGTTCTTCGAACTCATCTTTGACAGCCTGCAGGATGATGAGGAGGTCGAAGGCTGGGCAGAGGTCGTGGAGCCTGAGGAGATGCTGGATGTCAAAATGGAGGACATCAAGGTGTGCACAGGTTGAGCTGGGGCCAGTCCTCCCAGATCTCTGGCATTGGGCTGTGTGCCCCTGCCCTCCAACCTTGGCTGGGGTCCTCCTTGGCCTGGCCCAGCCTTTCCTACCAGTGATGCCCCCAACTTAATTAACAGTAGCAGCTCACAGTTAAAAATCATAGCACATTTCTAGGTGTAAATCCTGATTTTAAGGGCTTAAATAACTCATTAAATCTCCATAACCACCCTATGAATTAGGCAGTGTGCTCAAATCATCCCCAATTTTATTGAGGCACAGGATGGCTAAGTAACTGTTCTAAGGCCACACAGCTAGCAATTGGCAGAGCCAATATTTGAAGCTAGGCAGTCTGGCTTCAGCAAACTGTGCTGTTATCCACTAGTAAATACATTCATTTAAAAAAAATACATTCTTTACACTTATGTAAGCATTCAGTTCTTAAAACAATTCTGAGGCACTTGAGGCCCAGGGAATTAACTTGCTTATAGTTTCATAGCCAGTGAATGGTAGAATGAGACAGTGGTTCTCAACCTTCTGGCCCTTTAAATACAGTTCCTCATGTTGTGACCCAACCATAAAATTATTTTCGTTGCTACTTCATAACTGTAATGTTGCTACTGTTATGAATCGTAATGTAAATATCTGATATGCAGGATGGTCTTAGGTGACCCCTGGGAAAGGGTTGTTCGACTGCTAAAGGGGTCGCGACCCACAGGTTGAGAACCACTGGTTTAGATTCAAGCAGGCAGCCTGGTCAGTCTGCTCTCAGCTGTCTCCTCGACCAAGAGACTCTCACCCCATTTCCCCATTTTATCAGTCTCTGCTCCCCAAAGGACAGAGGCCTGACCCTGCTCCTTCCTTGCCCAAAGGAGTCTATCGAGACCATGAGGACACGCCTGGAGCGCAGCATCCAGATGCTGACCCTGCTGCGAGCCTTGGAAGCACGCGACCGCAACCTGCAGGAGGGCAACCTGGAACGGGTCACCTTCTGGTCGGCTGTGAACGTGGCCGTGCTGCTGCTGGTGGCTGTGCTGCAGGTCTGCACACTCAAGCGCTTCTTCCAGGATAAGCGCCCGGTGCCTACGTAGCCCGTCCCTGAAGAACAGGGAGAAGCAACGGCAGCAGGGTGCATGTGTGTGTGACGTAGTTTCCTATGAGAAGCGAGGCTGTATATTCGGGGCCTGAGGTGTGGCCCGTGTCTTCCCTTCCAGGCCAGAATACTGGCTGGCTTGCAGGTCTGGGCCATCCAGAAGGGGTAGCTCAGTGACTGCATCTGCTTTCCTGGAAATTGTACGTGGGGGGCACTGCAGCATTTGAATGCAACCCTGGGATTTTCCGGCCCCACCTGTCCCCTAAATGTGCCTTAGCCTGAGCCTTCCAGTTGCACCACCACTGCCTGGTGCAGAATGGGATCCAGGAAGCAAACTTTTTCTTCCCTTCCCCACTGGCCCTATGAGCCAGGACATGGAGGGAAGGAAGCTTGCTGCTCACGGAACCCCATGCCTTCCTTCCCCTTCTTGTCGCTCCACCTGGGGCCTGTTGCTGCTGCTGAGAACGGACTGTTCATGCCGGAGCTGGGAAGGAGACTCAGCTTGCAGTGTTCTTGCCAGGACAGTCGCTTTATTGACAGGAAGGAGCCGGCCCCTTGGCCCAGCAGGGGCTAGGTGTGAGGTCTGGTAACAGAATTCCAGGAGTGGGGCTTGCAAGTCCTTCTGCCCCTCCTGCTCTCCCTGCAGGGGCCCCAGACAGGGCTGAGGGGTAGCCTGACCGAAGCCCATACAGGAGCCTCACAGAACAAAGGGTGGTTTGGCCTGGGGACTGGAACCAATAAATTATGATCAGAAAATCACAGAGCCTGGTGATTGGGGCTCAGGGACACCAGCCAGGACAGACCTGCCCCCAGAGGGCAGCCAGGCAGGCGGGAGGGGTCTCTCACGAAGCTCAGAAGAAGGGTCTGGCGGGAGCCGATGGAGGTGGTCGCCTGGGCATAAGAGAAAAATCAGAAAGCAAAGTTTTACTGTGTCCCCGGCTGGGCCAGAAGGCCTGGGGCCCCAAGAAGGGGGAGAGGAGGCCTGGGGGAAGTGCTCAGGACTTCAGGGCAGAGTGCCTGACCACGGCAGTTTGGGGTGGAGGGCCAGGACTCCTCCTCCCATCAGGGATCTGGATGCCCGCTCCAGGCCTCAGTGTGGTTATAGGGGGGTAGGGGGTTGGGGGGTATTTTCCTCCAGTCCTGAGATGTTATGGGTAGTAAAAGCTCTCCCCGCTAGAGCACGAATTCCTCTGGAATGAGTCCTCCCCACAAGAGCAGCCCCCCCATGAGTAAGGTGTGGGGGAGGCTGTGGGGGAAAGGGTGGGGTCCTCATTGGAGGCCTTCTTGGGGGAAGGCAAGCAGTCCACACCCTCAGCCTGAACGCCAACACAAAAGGCCCACACAGCAGCCACCAGAAGCTTCTTCCCTTTATTTTAGTTTATTAATAGGATACAGAGTGCAGGCACTTACAGTGGTCAACCCGAGCGAACAGTGAGCGAGGTCTGCTCAGAGAGTGGCCACCTGGGGCCCGCCCCATGTAGGAGGCCAGGGTAGGAGCCAAGGGGCTCCCAAAGCCTCCCCACCCACTCAGCCCTCAACCCAGGCCACTCTGGGGACCCAGGAGGAGGAGGGGTGGAGGGAGGGGAAGAGAGAGCGAGGCCAGCGGAGCTGAGGGTTCCAGACCTGGCAAAGGCACCTCTGGCAGCCAAGGCTGGGCCGTGCAGTTAATACGGCCAAGAAAGGAATATGTACAACGTGGGCAGGGCGGGCAGCACTGCACCGGCTCCTGTCTTGCCACCAGGAGCTCCCACTGCTGAGAAGTGGACACACTCCTTGCACCCCAGCAAGGACTAAGCGTACAGGCGCCTTTGGTGCCCCGATTCCAGAAGGCCTGGTCTACTCAGGCTTTCGAGGCCTGAGAAGCCCCTGGGTGAGTCCCTGTTATACCAGCCGGGATCCCTCGTTCAAGATGGTGCTCAGGGTCCAGTTTCCTCCTCTGCTACCTCAGGCCTCATCCCCCAAAGTGCAACACCCAAGTTCCCCCCATGCTGAGGATCCAGGGCCCCTCAGTGCTATGTCCAGCTGGGGATAGGGGCCAGGCCCGCCCCCGGCCAGGCCAGGGTTAGGAAAGACTCAGGGAGCCTGGGCCTGGCATGGGGATGAGGGGGCCAGGGGCGGCGGAGGGGCCCAGATCAACAAAGCTCCGGCACTGAGGGTGCACAGGGAGCCCTCGAGAAAATGCCCCTGCAGCCTAGTCGAGCAGGGAAGGCTCGGCTGGGCGGATAATGGTGGGCCGGCTGGGCGCAGCCGGGGGTCTTCTGCTGCAAAGAGAATAAAGACAGGGAGGGGGAGATGGCAGTGAGGCTGGAAGCAGGGTAACGATGAGGACCCAGGCCCCACCACCCCTCCCAGGTTGCTGCCCTTTGCTAGATGCTCTGAAGGCGGCCAGGAATGAGCCTGTCAAGCCTAGGTGGTGGTAGCCTGCAGTCACTCACTTGCTGTGTGACCCTGGGCAGTCCCCCACCCGCCCTGGACCTCATGTTCCTCACATGACAAGTGGGGAGAAGAGAGCTTGGCCTGCAAGGTGGGGAGGGCAGGGCAGGGTTATGCCGTGACTGATGTGTGTCCTCAGTAAAGAAGCAAAGGCCAGGGGAAGAGGCCCTGTGTGAGGGTCCCAGGCTGTGTGGCAGAAGACAGGCCTGGAGCCTTGGAGTCACCTGACTCCGGAACTTTGGGCCTCAGTTTCCCCACCAGTCAAATGAAGATGCCAGTGACTCCTCTACTCCCTGCAGGGTTCAGGCCAGTGGCTCTAGATGGTAGGCAACTAGGGGGCCAGCCTTACCTGGGCACTCCAGGGGGGATGCCGGGTGGAATCCGAGCGGGCCGAGACGGGATCTGAGGCGGGGCCATGAAGGGGTCATTATTGGCAAACACGCTCTGGGGTATGGGCCGGGATGGGATGGGAGGCGCTGAGAAGGAGGCTGCTGGCCCCACCGGCACAGGCATCAGGGGAGGCCCTGGAGTGGGGCCCCTCACTGCTGGGGGCCTTCCTGGGGGGTGCACGCTGGACACAGGTCGCCGCTGCGGAATGGGGCTGTGGAAGAAAGAGGGTGTGAGCTGGAAACAGTGGGCAGGAACACCAGCCATGCCCATTAGCCACAGAAGCCAGAGGTGGGCTGGGGCTGCTGACCACAATGGCCTCCTCTGTAATGGGCTGGGACAAGCTACGACTCGGAGATATGAGTGAACGCCTGCTCCTAGACAAGTGGCAGTGCAGGTCCACTGGGATCCTCTGCTCACCCCCAAACCTGCTAGAAATGGCCGTCCTCCCACCCCAAACCTACCTGTCCTTGGCTAAGGGCTCCTTTTTCCCTATGACCTCACTTCCACAGACTTTTACTCTCACTGGCCCTGCTAGGGCCTCCCCACCTCGGTGCTTCCTCCAATCCACCCTCCATAGTTGCAAATCCTACCAGAGCTTAGCTCTGCCCTATAAATCAAGATCAGATGCTTCCAGAGGCCACAAGTCCCTGTCCCAGGTGCCCCACAGGCTATCCCAGGGCCTGAGCACCCGCTGCTCCCCCTGCTGGATGCTGTGTCCTCTCCCTAACTAACTCTGGTTCCCTGAGGTCTCGGTAGAGCTGACACTTTCTGAGATTTGCTTGACCTATCTTCTCCCACCACTTGCCTGACCTTCTACCAATTAGGTTTCCCTGCCTGATGCTCTGAATTCCCCAAACACACCAGAATCTCATTTTCATCCACAGCTCAGGGGTGGTCAGAGGGGAGGAGATTTGCTGGTTATGCCCTTTCTGCCCCTCCAGATCCTGTTCCACCCACCATTCTTAGCCGTGCTCTGTGCCTGAGGAGGCTGACCACCCTGGCCAGTGTCATCGGGCCTCTTCCCCTCTCTGGCTTCCATTTAGGCTGAAGCAATGGAAGGCATCAAGAGACAGTCTGGCCTTTAACCCTTCTCCCGTCTCTTCAGGCTGAGGTGGGCTAGCAGTTCCCATTGCGACTAGCCCTGGGTGCTGTGTCATCCGGATTGGGCCCCTTTACCCTGCCCACTCGTGGGCTCGGAGAGGAGCTAGGAACCTGCAGGCAGCAGCCTCTGCAGCAAGCGGGTGACCAGGCCTTACAGACCTGTGGTTGCTGGTGCTCTGGAGCCAGGTGTCATCAACGGGTGGAGGCACAGGTGTGGACACAGTGCTGGTGCTGATGTCCCCTATTATGTTGAGCGCTTCCTTCAGTGCGTGGTACATGCGCAGCATGTCGTCTCGCCGCTGGGCCTGCTCAGCTGACTCCTCCATGAGGCTGGTCTGGTCTGCCGATGAGTACAGGTAGGCCAGCAGCTCGTGGTGGATGAAGGCCTTCGTCTGGGGACAAGGATCAGAGCGGTCAGAGCTTCCCACCAACTGACCATGCACTCAGTTGACCATTGAGACTGGCTGGAAAAGCATTCACCACAATAGAAAGGGCTTTCTTTGTCTTTAATTTTATTTTAAATATTTTTATTGATTTTAGAGAGGAAGGGAGAGGAAGAGAGAGAGAGAAACATCAATGATGAGAAGGAATCATTGATTGCCTCCTGCAGGTTGGACCAAGCCCGCAACCCAGGCGTGTGCCCTTGACCAGAATTGAACCTGGGACCCTTGGGTCCACAGGCCGATGCTCTTTCCACTGAGCCAAACCGGCTAGGGCTCTTTGTCTTTAATTTACCGTAGAACATGTATGATGTTTAAAACAAGGTGAGAGGCTCAAAGGGAACCAAGAAGGAGAGAACCAAGATGGCGGCGTAGGTAAATGCTGGCCAGTACTAGCAGCCTCCCACAACCACATCCAAATTACAACTAAAATGCAGAACAACCATCATTCAGAACTGCCTGAAATCTGGCTGAATGGAAGTCCTAAAACTAGAGAAGAAGATAGCACATTGAGACTGGTAGGAGGGCAGACACAGACAATAGGATGGTGAAGGCGGGGGCGGGCTAGAAGGGGTCAATGGGGGGAAAAAAAGGAACATATATAATACTTGCAACAATAAAGATTTTAAAAAGATATTTTTATTGATTTCAGAGAGGAAGGAAGGGGGAGAGAGTCAGATTGAGCCCTGAACCGGGGTACTGAATGTGACCTTCTGATTCATAGGTTAGATGCTCAACCACTGAGCCACGCTGGTTGGGCCCATATATGCTTTTAAAAATATATTTTTACTGATTTCAGAGAGGAAGGGAGAGGGAGAGAGAGATAGAAACATCAATGATAAGAGAGAATCATTGATTTGCTGCCTCCTGCAGGCCCCCCACTGGAGATCGAGCCTGTAACCTGGGCATGTGCCCTTGACAGGAACTGAACCTGGGACTCTGGTCCACAGGCCAACACCCTATCCACTGAGCCAAACCGGCTAGGGCCCATATATGCATTTTAAATTTCAGGCTGCAGAACCATTTATATCATAAATCTCATCAATATGTGAAGAATATACCAGGGCACCCACAAAACTTCACACTGATCATCACTGAGAAGGAGACTGTGAAGAACGGAACAAAAGGGAAGGGATTTGGGATTTTTGCTTTAGATCCTGTCATAGCTTCAGTTTTTATGGTCACAACACAAATCAAACCTGGTTATATAGCTTTCTGAGTACCTGCTGCAAAGCCAAAGGCCTGACATGGGAGACATTAGTACAGCTGCATTTTATCAAAAACAAGCCTAAATGATTGGCTTGTAACCAAGTCAGGCAGGTAACGCTGAAAGTAAAGGCGGCCTGGGCTGCAGGCCATCAGGAGGCCAAGGCTGCCAACACAAGGCTAAAGT